TGCAAGCTTGTCAGCCAGAGCATTGAAAAATCAGCCTGATACCCTAGCTCTTTTTTACTTTTGTTCATTGACCTGCTTGACCTAGGTGACTAGTGAGAAAGTCAGCACATTTTGAACACATTACTCTGTGTAAAGCATCCTGTTCAGCATATTACACACAAAGGGAGAACACCTCAGGTGTTCATCAGGTGGGTAATACATAAAACTTTCTTAAGTTTTCAGGAATGAAAATTTCTCTGTACTTTGAATCCCCTATAGCTCACTGAGTTATACCCATGAAGAAATAAAAAAAAAATTCTAAGCCCCCAACTAACTGAATGGACCATTTCTTGGCCAAGGGGACACCAAAGAAAACTCGGAAGCTGAGCCCCTGGCCATGACAGGATGTGAGGATGGATATGTCCCATTATATCCCTTCCCTTGCTAACCACTCTTAGGCTTTCTTCCCTAAGGGTTAAACAGAAACAAGCCCTTCGGAGAAATTTTACTGCTGATTTAACCCAACTGCCTGACTACTGCCACTCCCTTTTGCAGTTTCTGCACAACCAATCAGCATTCCTTCCCGATAAGAAACCACTGACCAGGAAGTGGTTCTGGCCAGTCTTCGAAGAACGAGCAGTGAGGGTTTTTGTGTCTTCTGTTACAGAGGGCTGACAACTTCACTCTCAGATCATGCTAATGCCGCCATTTTTGAACACGGGGTCCCATCAAGAGGCATGAATTCAATTACACCTGCGCATGTTTCTCCTTTCATAAATATTCATGACTCCTCCTATAGCTTATTGAATATGTGTATTCGGCCACCTCATTCCGCATACATCTCTGTCTTATTCTTCCCACCCTTGAAATGTCTGTTTCTGGAGTCTGGAAGGAGGCTATGTTTCCCAGCCTGTCAGAATGGTCACCCTGCAGGCTGCAATCCTTTATGAGAGATAAAGCTCCACTTCACAAATGTATGAACCTTTTCATTCATCAGTTGACACCACTTAATCAAATTGAGTCTCTCTTTTTTTTTTTTTTTTAATTTCATGCTTTGCATTTTCATTCAGGAGTCTTAGAAAGTGCTAGGATTTGGACCTAATTTCTGGTAACTTCATCTATCAGTGCTGATGTCCACTGAAATACTATTATACAGGTCTGATTCTGAGAGTTTGGTCCAGGCAGCTCACCACCTAGACTGCCTTCATTACTCCCTGCAAAACCGCTCAGTCTGAGTCCAAGTTCCTGACACTTCCAGGCTCTCAGGACGTATTCAGCTGTTTCTTTACAACTCCAGAGACAGATCTCTGCTTCCATGTGCTTCTTAGCTTCCTGGGCTCTTTCCTTTACTGCCATTCAATCCTCCCAAACCTGGAAGCAAAGGGTTAATTATATCCTTTTGCAAGGAAACTGAGGCTCAGAGAAGTTCAGGAACTTGTCCACTGTCATATATTTCACAAGTGGAGGAGTACACTTTCAGAGCAAAGTCCAACTAAATTCATGATTCTAGTTTCCCCCATCATGCTGCACTGCCTCAATGATTTCAGTTAAAGTCTCAGGTCTTTTTAATTCTCATGCTAAAACCTATCGTTTAGTACAAACTTTTAATAGTTTCACTCTTATTTTTAGTTAAATGTCACCTTGGAAAGTAAAAATGGGAGTTTTAAAGGCATGTTTCTCAAAATATGGTGGTCTACATCAGAATTACCTGGACTAATTGTTAAAATATTTATTCTTAGGCCCAATTATAGCCCTACAGAATCATTATTACTATTGGGCAATGAAATAAGTATTATTAATAAACTCACCTAATAACTACTATTCATGTCAAATTTAGTAGATTATTTCTTTAACATATGTAGACAAGTTTATTTTGATCTTAGTAAGGAGAGTGAGAAACAGCTGAAATACAAGGTGCTAAGGCTTTGAATTGGTTCATCGCGCTATCTAACTACTGAAAATTTTGGATATGGAGGAATGACCTTAATATTGGGAAAAAAGAAGAAAACAGAAGAACAACAGATGAATTCCTGAGACCTGAGACAAATTTCCTCTCCTTCCTGATTTTGCCTGCAGGCAGTTCTGTGTGAGAGTGGATGAACTGGTGAGAAAACGTATTTGAAATTTAAACCTACAGTAACTTTTGGGTTAAGAACTATATTCCCAAATGAAATAACTTCGTTATTATTTTTAACTCCCTCTGCCCAAATACCCTAAGGACTTAAGCTGCTTGATATAGCAGTCTAGGTGCTCACTTTCAGAACCAAGATAGCTTTTCTATTTTATTCTTCACATCACAGTAAAACTGTTAGATGGGCTGAATGCCTGGGTTCAAAATTTCAGAAATTTGCACCTAAATTGCACCTGTAAAATATGTCCTCACACATGTGAGTGAGTCATTTTACTTGCAAATTATTGTTTTGCATATGCAATTACTTGCTTGCATCTGGCTATACATTTTGTGGAACAATTAAGTGTTTACGTTAGAAAATTAGATCACTAATTTTATGTTCATTTTTGTAAGACTTAGAACTTAAACTACCAGAATGTTTTTAGACAGAAAGATCAGTATTGCATATGTTCTAAATTGTGAGAGAGGAGTACATTCTTTCATCCATTCATTTGTTAATTTGACAAATATATTCTGAATGCCTACTGTGGGTCAGCTGCTGCACTGGATGCTAAAGTTACAATGATAAACAAATAGTTCTGCCTCCGGACATGGAGATTAACACTATGTTTAGTTGCATTTAGAGACCAGAAATTTGTTAGTGTCTTGCTTGATAACTTCAAAATATGCAGTTTTCGCTTAATTCTCAGGTTATTTTCTAATATGCGCCATATCAAGTTGAAAATAGACAGTTGTCATTTCTCACTACTTTCACTGATGGAATGAATAATAAAATGGGGGGATCATTTTTTATTTGATTTTGCTTTTCTCCTAATTCACAAATTAGCATGGCAAGTTTGTATGTCTTTTATGCAATCGTTGGGCTCTAGATCAGATAGTCTGTGGATGATTAATAGAAGCATAATTTGTGAAAATTAAAGGCTGATGATGGTCTTTGAATGAATGCCCTTCCTATGGGAAGATGTTCAGGGCTTTTGCAACTTGACCCTTGTACACTTTTCTCTGGGTAAAAACTATATTTTAGAGTGCTTAGTTTGTTGGGATAATGACTTCAAGATTAGAGAAGCATTGCATTACACACCTATACATTTCTTCATAAACAAAAATACATCAATACACCTGCACACATATGTATCTTGTGTCTATAAAGTCTGTGTAAAACACTGGTCTTTTAAATCTATCAATTTATCATTCAGGACCTAATTATAATAATACATTTATAGATATTTTGGGTTGAAAGAAACTTGAAAGTATTTTTTATTTAGTTCCCTTACTTTACAAATGAGTAAACTGAGGCCTGGGGCGGTTAAAAGAATTTCAAGGATTACACAGATGCTAAGGCAGAGAAAAGACTAAAATCTGGTATATAGGCATTCATTATTTTTTGAAAAATATCTTTTGTGAAGGAATGTAATGGAAACCAACTAACGTTACCCTTGCAGATCCTATGGTGATGTTGAATGTGGCTCTTCTTTAAATAAATGTGGGAGGAAGAGAAAAATTATACAAAATCAGAGAAGAGTCAGAAAAGCAGAAGTTTGTCTTCTCTGTTAGATACTGCTTTTTCTAGTAACCACAAAGCTTGACATACATTAAGGTCAAATAAAGATGAGAGATGCAGTGATGGTAAAGGGAAGGAATAGGGGGAGAGATATCTGGAAATTTTATGCACGTACACAATGTTTCGTTTTGTTGCAATCAGGGTCTCAACAGAAAACAGATGTCAAGCATAAATTAAGAATATCCCAAGAAAATTTATTTACATAAGAACCAACTACAGAAGTGTGGACTTGATAGAAACCACAAGAAATAGTAGAGTAACACTGGATTAATAACCATGGAGCTGGTACCACCTCTAGGCCCAGGGGAATGAGGAGAGAGGGAGTGATTACTAGGACCCAGAAGGGAAAATTTTCTTGAGAAGGCTGTCTTGAGAGGAGTAGTGACCTTCATTGGAGAGACACAGCCAGGTTGAGACAGGGGATCCCAGCAGAAAAAATATCCTATAATGTTGTTTTCTACTCATCTCTGATTTCTTGCTGATATCCCCATTGTTAATTCTAACTGGAAGCCAGAAAGCAAGGAAGAACCCATTAATGTCATCTGCCAATGGGGAAGAAGGCAGGTGGAAAGGTGTAGGTAAGGATTTGGAGTTGCAAACAAATGGCACAAGGTATACTCTTCCAAAAAGAAGCCAAGCACTCTTACAAGAATATATAGAATGTCAGAAAATGGCATAAATTAAAATACTATGAAGGAAAAAAAGAAAATAAAAGAACTGACGCCATTGAAACTAAAAGACTGATTTATACAATTGCTCACACTAGATGGAAAATTATTTCTCTCTAATGCAATCGTTCAGAGGTAGGTGGGTAGTCTAAGGGCAGCTCTGCTCCACGAGGGCATTGTTCTTTCTTTTTGCTTTGATCAGCACCACACCATATTTAAATTTTAGTCTATAGGAAAATCAAATTACCGTGTGGGGAGCAAGCAGCTTCCCCTTAAGGAAGTGGCTGAGACATTATACGCCTCTCTTCTGTAGCTCCTCGGAGTCCCTGGGTGTTGGACCCTTCTGTGACCTCCAGCTATTTGATTCACTTTTCCTGTCTGTAAGTTCTGGCAGTTGGACACCTAGGGGAGATTCAGCCTTTTGCCCTCAGAAAGCTCTCTACTTGGCCTCTACTGATCAGCCAGGCTTCATACCTAAATTGTTTGGCTGTGTCATCCTATCTGAACTTACGTGAATGCCAGAGCGCATGGTGTTGGGGCTCTGAGTGCCTGCCAATGGGTCAAATACAATCTAGGCGTGCAGATAATTCTTCATGGGGTAACTTGGGCCAAAATAGAAGAATGGAGGAAACCCAGTTTCTTTCTTCTTTATCATATGTACCCTTTCATAGTCCTTATCAAATTCTTTGAAGCACAGTGTTTCTTGGTCGTCTATCTGGAGAAGTTCTATGCATGAAATACATGCAACTGCCAAACAATCAGCTTTGTGTTGTTGAAACATCATTTTACATCTTGCATAGCTCAGTTGCCTTTGTCCTCATCCTGGATCCTCTGAATGTATGCCTTGCCAAAAAGCATTTTCCTTTCATCCTTGATTCAGGCTTTGTGTTCTAGGGAAGCTGATATAGAACATATCTATTCACACTTGGTTGATCAGTCCTGGTCCGTGGTAAAACTTGAAGTAGACAAGTGTTTTGCTGAATAAGACAAATGAGAAAATCATGGAATTTTGGGAATAGTGAGACATTTTTGCCAAAGAAGAAGAAAATAAAGTCAGGAATGAGACCAAAAAAACCAAAACAAAATAAAATGTGTAACATAATTCTTTACACCAAGTAGATAAAAAACTCAATTTAACTTTTACAGAAGCCACCACAAAAAAGAAAATATTGTTTATTTTTGTGTTCATGATACAATGAGTAGAAAAAAAAACAAAACACCAGAAACCCAAATCTTTAGGAAAAATCCAAATTCTTTGTATAAATTTCAATTAAATTTTCTTTCTGAATCCTATATCACTTATGAATACTACCAGAAATAAATAACACAATGTACGACCAACAGTGACTTCGTAATGAAGATATTTGATTATCTCACTCAATAGGAAGTGTAGAGGGTAAGCATCCAAAGGTTTATTTCCCTTCAGGATCACTAAGGATCCACGTGATTTTCATCTTTTGCTCTTCCATCTTTAATACATTGTTTTTGATCCTTTAGTTTGTCTTCTCTTGGTGGTGAGATGTCTGCCAGTGTTCCAACTATCAAAGGTAGGAAGTGGGGAAGGAAGTACAGGGCAAGAGAGAATTTTTGCTCAAATGTCTTTCATGGGATGGGGGAAGGTCTTTCCTGGAATTCCCCTACTTCAACTTCTGTTTATGTCACACTGGCCAGAACTGGGTCATCATGGCCACTCAAACCTGCAAGAGAGGCTGGGAGTTTAAGCACTGGCCTTTTTGAGTGTAAGAAACTCACAAGGAGAAGAGGGTTGAGAAAAGGCAGATGGAGACACAACTGGGAGTGGTTTTTTTTGTTTTGTTTTGTTTTGTTTTAATAATTCTCATAATGAGAATTACCAGTGATATACTGACTAATATCCTAGGTAACATGCTATAGTAGATATGTGACATATCCTATAGCTATACATAAGTGCTTTCCATACATGCTGATGACATTATACCACCATATGATGCAGTAGAAATAATTCCTCATAGTGGGAATAGGTAGGGTAGAAATGGTTGCAGTCTAGGTGTGTAGGCAATTGACCTAACTTGCATATTTTAGAACATGGGACAGTTTGGTCTGTGTGTTCTAAAATCCTGTCCCTGAATCCAGATTTGTAAGGCTAATGTACATGTTACATAGCTCCAGATTACACTTCATGGTGATGCTTGAGTATGACTCTTTGATTTTGCCATTTCTATATAGATCCAGAATTACTAGGAGATAAGTAAGAAATAAAGTTGCCTGATTTTGGGGAGATAACTAAGAAATCTAGTATGAATGCATGCATGCTATCTCTGCTTGGATGTAATCATGCCAGGGGGCCAGGATTCTGTCCAGAAGATTGCTTCAAATTGGCTTCAGTGCCTGCACAAATGGGCAATAAAGGCCCCCAAGATATACTCCATATTATAGCACACAAATAATTATACCTGAAGAATTTAAGGCAAGTAAAATCACACGCTTGCCTGGACAAAAGCAAAATGCTAAACTTTCAGGAGTGCTATTTTCTGGTGTACCCTCCAAAATAAACTGTGAGTGAATATGCACCAAAATAAGTAAACAAGGTAATTTATTGTATGCGGTTGTTATTTATATACCAATTGAAAGTAACAGGATGGCTTCCAAAAATAACTACTTTAGTTTTAGAATAGTTCCTCTGCACTCCCTTTTGGCAATAATCAGCAAATAGAATTGATGATTCAGGCCACTGGTAGTATGACATAATAAAACTATGCTGTCTTTATATAATAAAATATTTGCCTTTTTTGTGCCAGTTTTGCCTTTTTTCTTAAGAGTAAAATAAGTTAATATTTATTAAGCCCCATACTTACTTAAATCTCTTGATACCAATGACATAGACACTATCTTCAAAATGTTAAGTGACTCAGAAAACTTAAGGGGTGTGTCCAAGTTATGCAGTTGTAAGTGGTAGATCTGGGATAACGAGGAGGCCTGAATTTTGTGAATCTAAAAGTGGATTAGAATTATTCGGAAACAAGAAAGAGAACTGCCTAGAATTTCTGCTTAGCACAGACTCAGGATCTTTGAGTTCAAGGTCATATATGAGGGAGGTACAAAGTATCTGTTTACCTTTTTCTCAGGCTGTGTTTATTTCATGAGACAAAGCCTATCAATGTCGTAAGGTGAAGACTTCACACATTTTTTTCATAATCCATCTCCACTTGCTTCATGGTAATTGAAAATCCCACTCATATTCTAGCGTTGGGCTGCTGGTGGTGGTGTTAGCTTTCACCCTCATCTCTGTTTTCATCTGTGCCGCAACTGAAGGGGTGGCCTGCCCCTCCACACCTGTGGGCATTTCTCGTTAGGTGGAACGAGAGACTTGGGAAAAGAAATGAGACAGACACAGAGACAAAGTATAGAGAAAGAAAAAGTGGGCCCAGGGGACCAGCGCTCAGCATACTGAGGACCCACACCGGCACCGGTCTCTGAGTTCCCTTAGTATTTATTGATAATTATCTTTACCATCTTAAAGATAAGGGAGTGGCAGGACAATAGGATCATTGTAGGGAGAAAATTAGCAGTAAGACATATGAATAAAGATCTCTGTGACATGAATAAGTTCAAAGGAAAATGCTGTGCCTTGATATGCACATGTAAACATCTCCATAAACCTTTTAGCAGCATTGTGCCAGCAAGTCCTACCAGCAAGTCCCACCTTATGCCGTTAGGCGGTTTTCTCCTATCTCAGTAAACAGAGCATACAATCGGGTTTTACACCGAGATGTTCCATTGCCCAGGGACGGGCAGGAGACAGATGCTTTTCTCTATCCAACTGCCAACATCCGCCAAAAGGCCTTCTTTCCTCTTGTACTAGTCCTCCTCAGCACAGACCCTTCACGGGTGTCAGGCTGGGGGACGATCAGATCCTTCTCTTCCCACGAGGCCCTATTTCAGACTATCACATGGGGAGAAACCTTTGACAATACCTAGCTTTCCTAGGCAAAGGTCCCTGCGACCTTTGGCCCTGTACATGTCCCTGGGTACTTGAGATTAAGAGAATGGTGATGACCTTTAACCCGCAAGCTGCCTTCAGGCACTTGTTTAACAAAGACACATCCTGCACAGCCCAAAATCCATTAAACCTTGAGTCACCACAGCACATGTCTCTTGCAAGGACAAGGTTGGGGGTAGGGT